GGGTACAGGTGGGACAGAGGCCAGAGGGCCCATTAGGGGAAGGTCAGTGGTTCAGTTGCCTGAAGCCTGGAGGTCACAGCTGGGCACAGAACCAGGACTAGGGTGAGACAAGTGAGGCAGTTGCCTTGGATACAAAGTTGAAGGCCAAAAACTCAGTAATCAATACAATGTTTTAATGCAAAACATGAAACACATATTCCGGGAGAGAAAACTGAATATTGTAAGAATGTCAGTCTTTCCAAAAGTAGTACAAGGAAATTCATGATGAACAAAATATCAAGTTTTAAATGAACACAGGATCAATTATAGTGTTGTGTAAGCCATAGTGGAGGCTGAGGCCAAAGAAATATCAGTAATTCTCATCCTGAGGGTTTTTAAAATTCGATTTTGTGTTCATTGTGTATTTTTCACGTTAATGAAAAAATACTGCACTGAAATACTACTTATCTTGATCACTCAGTTTCTGGTGCCCCTTAGATCTTGTTCCTGAGACAAATGCCTCGCTCGCCTCACCTTAGTCCCCTTCTCTGCAGCAGGAAGTGGGCTTTCATTGGTGGGCTGCGGCACTGGGGGTTCACCCTGCCGGGTAGAAGTCATTGAAATCTTTTATTTATTAGAATGTGTTTGTATCTGTAGATTTAAAAAACTGATGTGGCAGGAATTCCCTGGCGGTCCAGTGGTTAGGACTCCGCGCTTTCATTGCCGAGGGTGTGGGTTCAATCCCTGGTCGGGGAACTAAGATCCTGCAAGCTGCGTGGCGCAGCCAATAAAACAAAAAAAACCTGATGTGGCTACACATAAATTAAGATGGGGGGCAAGACTGGTGTCAGGGAGGCCAATTCAGAATTGCTGCCTTAATCTAGGCAGGATGACGAAGCTCGAAGTAAGAAGGAAGCTGTGGGAAGAGTAGGGGAGCGATTCCAAAGACTCCCAAGGGCCAGGCTGTGGGAAGCCCCTGCCTTGGGGGCTGAGGGGGACGGGCGGGTCTAAGACTGTGTCCGGCCCTGGACTGGGAGGGCCAGTTGCTGTGTCTCGTTTAAGAAGGTATGAAAGATGGCGGTTCAGAGCGGAGGAAGCAGCTGAATTCAGTTTGTGATGCTTGGAATTTGAAGATCTATAGGACACCAAAGGGAGCTGCCTGGAGCCCAGGAGGAAAGAGGCTCTGCAGAGACCCTGATTTGGGCGCTGTCAGGGGACAGTCGTCCCCGGAAGGTGGAACCAAAACCAGAGAGGGTACCCCAAGCAGAGGGGCAGGAGGTGGGGGTATGTACAGAAGAGAGTTGAGGCCACAGGGGGCCCTATTCTTCAAAAAGAAGACACCAGCAGACAGGAATTATCGTTAATTGTCACACCATACTCCATTCATTGAATGGACATTTCCTAAGCATCTTTTATGCACCAGGCACTGTCTGGGCACTTAAGAGGCACTAAGCCGTCCTGGCAGTAAGCTCCGCCGCCCCCCCCCCCCCCACCCTACATTTTGGCTTACTCTTCTGTGTTAGTTACACAGGTACGCTTACCTTTAGTCTCAAATTGGTGTGGACCAAGGGGTAGCCCCTTCATTTGGGAATGCTCACTCAATCTTGTCCTCTTGTTTCTTTTCTAAGCTTCCAACTCTCCCTCTACTGGGTCCTTCCCCATAGGCTATAAGCTATGGGGAAGCTTGAGCTGCGACCACTCCCTCTCCCAGGAGTGCTTCCTCCAGGGGCCCTACACTTAGCACTGCCACTTTTCCATCCGCAGCAGTGTGGCTTCTACCCCATCACACTTGCCAAAATCTCCAACATCTTTTAATACCAAATCCAGTAGACCCTCTCAGGCCTCACCTTATTTGACTTTTTTGTGGCATTGGATACTGTTCTTTCTTCCTTTTTTCTTGAAACCCTTTCTTCCCTTGGCTTCCAAAACTCCCCTTTTCTAGCTTGGCTTCTGCCTCTGGGCCTTCTCCCACCCTAGATGTTTTCCACCACTGGGTCTGGGTCTGCCCAGCCTTCTCCTCTCCTCACTCTGGCTGCTATGCTACGCTGGTCCCTCATGCCATCTGTGTCTGCAGCTGTGTGACCACCTCCATAGAGCCAGCTGCCTAAAGCAGCGGTCCCCAACCTTTTAGGCACCAGGGACTGGCTTTGTGGAAGGCAGTTTTTCCACGGACGGGGGGATGCGGTGGGGAGAGAGGATGGTTCAGGAGGTGATGGGAGCGACGGGGAGCGGCAGATGAAGCTTCGCTCACTCACCCACGGCTCACCTCCTGCTGTGCGGCCCGGTTCCCAACAGGTCGCAGACCGGTATCGGTCCCCTGCGGGTTGGGGACACCTGGCCTAAAGCGATGGGTATTTCTTATGCATGCATCATGTCCAACATTGAACTCAGGAGCTTCCCCCCAGACCTGCAGCCCTGCTGGTATCACTCCACATACATACACACACTCAACAGATAATGGAAATAAATGATCTGTTCTCCCTCTCTATTCAAGTCACGAAGTCTGTCAATAATAACAATAGCTAATACTGAGGGCTTATTACACATCTCACTTAATACTCATAACAACCCAAATGTCAGGTACTATTATTATATGCATTTTATAAAGAAACTGGGATGACAGAGCAGGGTCTCAATTTAAATCCTAGTTCCTAGCTATGTGACCCTAGACAAGTTAACTTATCTATGCCCCAGTTTCTGTAAAATAGTGATAATTTTTTTCTAAGAGTAAATGAATTTATATATATATTATGTATAAAGAACTGGAATAGTGCTTGGAACTTCGTAAGTATTATATAAGTATTAGCTATTACTGTTTTTCTGTCCCAGGCTGGCTCCAAAGCAAGGCACTTGAGCACTGTGCTATACTGGCTTTCTCCACTGCTCCTTTGACCTAAATACTTCATTCATTCAACAAATAATTTCCACCACTACTTATGTCAGGCAATGCTTGCGGCGCCAGGAATATAGCAAAGAACAAAGTCTGCGTTCTCGTGGCTGGGGAAGGAGCAAACAGACAGTAAACAGAAAAGAAAAATGCCAGGTAGTGGTAAGCACCTGCAGAAGACTCGGTTAGGGTGATGTGGTAGGGAGCCTCTGGGTGGCACTTTTCATTGGAGGGTTGGGGAAAGGCCTCTCAAGAGGTGATGTAAACTGAGATCTGAATGACAAGCCAGCCACGCCAGTATTTCTATAACTCATCCCTGTCACTTGATCATGCACTGCTCTCTCCAGCCTCTTCCCATGAGTGCCCCAAGCTTGCTGTGTGCCAAACTGCTTGCAAACACAGGGGTCTTACTCCACCATGCCTTGGCTTACTTATGCTGTTCTTTCCGTCCCCCATCACCCAGTAAGTGTCCCCTTGGTCCCCATCCCAGAGTTTAAAATGAGAACCTCCTCAGGGTGCTCTCCACAGATCATCAAAAAGCAGGGTGCAGACCAGAGAACTAGCCCCAGCTTCCTTCCTGATCAGAGAGCCCCAGTGGGTAGCTGTGAGTTTCCTATTCACTCAGTCACAGGAGCCTTCTAGGAAGAGGTGCAAAATAACTTGATTGCTCACAGAATCCCCACCAGCCCTTGTTAAAATACAAAATCCTGGGGCTTCCCTGGTGGCACAGTGGTTGAGAGTCCGCCTGCCGATGCAGGGGACGCGGGTTCGTGCCCCGGTCCGGGAAGATCCCACATGCCACGGAGCGGCTGGGCCCGTGAGCCATGGCCGCTGAGCCTGCGCGTCCGGAGCCTGTGCTCCGCAACGGGAGAGGCCACAACAGTGAGAGGCCCGCGTACCAAAAAAAACCAAACCAAAACAAAATCCTGCGCCCAATGCCACACCTCTTTAATTAGAAACTCCAGAAGTGATTCTGAACATTAGTTCAGTTAGGGAAATATCATCACAGCTGAAGGTATCTTGGTTTTGTACCAGGCACCAGGTGCCCAGGATGTAACCATCCTACCTGGGCAGGCTCAAAACTGAAGAAAGTGCTCTAGGTTAAGTTTGACACCAATTAAGTTTTGCCACAGTGACCCATCTGAATAATTGGCAAAAACACAATGCAAGGACAATTTTCTGTGCTTCCGCCAACAAGGGAACTTTTCTTTGACTTTTTTGATTGACTCCTAGACCATCTGGTGACACTGATTTAGCAGCCACCATTTTAAAATAGCTGCTTTAGTCCCAAATAACAAAGAGGGAACTTTTGAGTGGTCAAAGGCCCTGCACTGTGGTTGGCCTGACCAAGTTCTTCTCCCCATCCCGCAGTTGTAACATCCAGTGACCACCAGGGTGTTTCCCACTGGTAAAATTACCTAGTGCATGAGGTTTCTTGAGATTAAATATTATGTTTGTGTGCTGCTCACAGTAAACCTCACAAACATACGCAACTGTCTATATCAGCGGCTCTCAGAAGGCAGCGTCAGGCACGTGGGCCGGGGGAGTCACCAGCAGACAGGGGGACTTTCTGGCTCCCGGTTCGTTAGCGGGCGGGACGAAGGTGGTCCCTCAACGCGGTGGACCCTGAATTCCCGACGGTCTCGGGCTAATTAGGAAACTGGGCAAACTCTTATCTTTCCTCCCTCCAGGAGGCTCTGCGTGGAGTGCGGGCCGGGGTCGCGCGTAAAGCCTCCCAGGAAACTCAAGACCTCCACAGTCGACAAGACCCAGACACACTGGGGAGCCGAAAACCACCGCTACCCACCGCCCGGGAATTAGGGAACACGCGGCGCCAAAAATGTCCGTCCCACGGCGCAGGCGCCGCGAGCGCGGGCCGTGGATAGGCACTCCGGGAACCGCGCGCTCACGGCCCAATCAGCGCTGGCCTTGCACAAAGCGAGTCCCGCCCCTAGGCCGCCGCCACGAATCCCCTCCCCCCTTCTCTGGCCTCCTCTGCCCGCCCACTCCTGCCCGTGCCCCGCCCCGCGCCGTTCTCAGGTAGAGGCTCGCGATTGGCTTATGGGAGGGACGCGAACTCTGGTTGGTCGCGGCGGAGTCACGAGGGCGCCGTCGTCGCCTTTCCAGAGGCGATTACTGGGCAGGCTCAGTCTTTCGCCTCAGTCTCGAGCTCTAGCTGGCAGCCAAGCGTACGAGCTCTGCGATCAGCGGCCGCCATCGACGTTGCTTCGCGTCTTCTGGGCTCATCTGCGCCACTCGCTCGCCACACACTCTGCAGTCCTAAGCCGCTATCATGGTAAAGCTTGCAAAGGTAAGAGGCCTTGGCCGTGCGAGCACGGACGTCAAGGCCTGTTTTCTGAGGAGCGCGCGCGCGGCGCCGCCAGGAGGAGGGCCTGCGCGCCACCCCGGGCGCCTTCGAGGGCGCCATAGTGCGGGAAGTCTCGCGCGATTAGCCTTGAGGTCTCGCGGCTTTTGGCTGTGTGGTAGCGACGTGAAGAGCTTCGGCAGGTGCGGCGGATGGTCGATGCGGCGGGGAAGGACTTGGGGGCTGAGCGCGGGAAGGGGGCGCTGGGCCCCGGACGGATGAGGCCAAACTCCTGCGACGGGCCCGAGCGGAGCCCCGCCTCCTGACGCATGTGCCCCGGCTCGCGGCCCGCCACGTGGGCCGCGCCGCGTGGGTCCTGGCGCCTGCTGAGGGCCCCGGGTCCTGGGGCGGAGAGCGGCGGCCCACGGGGTCTCAGCTCCGGGCGGGCGGCAGGTGGGCTCCGGAAGGAGGCCCTGCCGCGTGCTTTTGGCGCAGGGCTGCGCGCACATGGTGGCCTGCGACTTACCCCCACGTGGCCCTGCCGGGGATGAAAGGGGCGGGGTTGATAACCTGGGAAAGGAAAACTTAATGGAAGACTAAAGGTTAAGACGTGGATTTTTTTTTTTTTTAAGACTGCCCTAATTTAAATTCAGACGAGGGTGGTGGGATTAGGTGCCACAACTTACCCCAAAGGCTTTTTTAAGGTGGTTTTCCCCAGGTGAAGGGCCATGGATTGTTAGCTGTTACAGTGGTCCGATTGTAGGCTCTATTGAAAAATTGTGCCGCGATGCAAGGTTCGATTCTGGCTGGATGTATAGGTTTTAAAATGGGTGTGCTTAAAGGGCGCAGCAAGAAGAGAGAGACCGTTTTCTTGAAGTTGCGTTTTTATCCTAAGGTTGGTTTTTGAAGAACTTGACAGGAAATACGTGGGAAGTTGAGAATTCACCTGTGTTAACATTGGTATAAAGAGTAGTTTTTACGTTAATTGTACTTAACAGTATGAAGAGCGGGTTCTGAGGGAGATGATTGCAGTTTTACTCTGAAGAATGGCCTGAAATGTGGGAGGTGTAATGTGTAATGCGTCTGTTTTAGGCCGGTAAAAATCAAGGTGACCCCAAGAAAATGGCTCCTCCCCCAAAGGAGGTAGAAGAAGATAGTGAAGACGAGGAAATGTCAGGAACTGAAGAGGATGATAGCAGTGGAGAAGAGGTAATTGTATGTAGTTTAACGCAGAATTGTGTTAAACTACAAAATGGAGAGTTAAAAGCACGTGGTATTGGATGTCTGAAAATACTGGCAAAAAATAGGATTATATTCATTCATATATGACCTGTTGTAATGGTCCAGCGTTTCACAAAGTTTTTATTGACCTGTCAAGATGCCATAAGAGTAATGAACTTGAGAGGAAAGGTGTGGAGTTTTCATGTGCCCTCTGCAGGGCTTGGTGTGATATAATGCAATAATATATTATTAGTTTTCCACTTTGAACACATGAGCCCCACATACCTGCTGGAGAAACAGCCTGGACAGTTAACTGTCCTGCGAGTGGCAGCTTTGAGCATTATATTTAGGTCTGAGGTTAGCCTTAACAGATTCTTCTAGTCTCTAAGTAGGATTAATTGGTCTTTGTTATCCTATATGGGCTTGGTAATACTAAACACTGTTACAATGTGTGGATTGAGGGTTGCCACCTCCCGTTGTGTTAGCACTTAATTAGCACTCCCAGCTACTGTTGGCTAGCCGCAAAGACACCTAATTGCTGTATTTGCTCATGTTTCTTATTTAGAATTTAATAAAGATTTTATTTTGATACACATAAGCTGATAAAACCAATAGTCAACAAAATGTGGTTTTGAGTGTGACTTAAATGTAGATAAACGACAGTTTTTTATCAAGCCAATGTGTTCACTCTTTGTATTAATTTTGCAACGATTGACTGTACAGCTTGACTATTTGATGTTCATTTTCTCTTTGGTCCTAAGAATGAGCATTCAGTGAACTTTATTTCTCCACCCACTGTGAGAGCCCCAAATAACTTAATAACACTTAGCAGGTAGTCCTTTCTATGTGTAAGGCTTTTAATTGCACATATCCACTCAATCTTTAAAGCAACGTATAAAGTTGAGATATTTTCAGATGGGAAAACTATCGAGGCTTAAAATTAAGTTTTAAAACTTTGCCTAAGCCCACGCAGTGGCGTCCAGTCTATTTTCAGAGTCCGTGTTAGGGTGTGCTGCCGGACTGTGACTTGAAGCATACAGAAGGACATGTTACTTGACCCTGTAGTTTAACTTGCTAACATCTAGTGCATGTGGTCTTCAACTAGAGGCAGTGCTAGAATTTAGCATTCATTTATGGGACCAAGGCTCTCTTGAGTTTGGAAACAGGCCTATGTTGGTTTTTATTTATTCTTAAGGTTGTTATTCCTCAGAAAAAAGGCAAAAAGGCTACCACAACTCCAGCAAAGAAGATGATGGTTTCCCCAACAAAAAAGGTTGCAGTTGCCACACCGGCAAAGAAAGCAGTTGTCACCCCTGGCAAAAAGACAGCCGCTACGCCAGCCAAGAAGACAGTTACACCTGCCAAAGCAGTAGCAACACCTGGCAAAAAGGGAGCCACACCAGGCAAAGCATTGGTAGCAACCCCTGGTAAGAAGGGAGCAGCCGCTCCAGCCAAGGGAGCAAAGAACGGCAAGAATGCCAAGAAGGAAGACAGTGATGAGGAAGAGGAAGATGACAGTGAAGAGGAGGAGGAGGAGGATGAAGAAGAGGAGGAGGATGAATTCGAGCCCGCGGTGATGAAAGCAGCTGCTGCTCCTGCCTCGGAGGATGAGGACGAGGATGACGAGGATGATGGTGAAGACGACGACGAGGATGACGAGGATGACGAGGATGGTAAGGCATTGTGTTGGGAGTCCTTGGGCTCCTGTTGGCAAGATACATTAGGGGCGAGGCGTGGGTGGTAATGCTGTGCTCCTGACGACCTGGGGTGGGTTAGACAAGCATCATCCCAGGGTTTCTCTGGGCTGCTTGTGGTGCACTAGTGGTGCCTGTGGTGCCTGTGAACGATTGCCTGCTCCTGAGTAACATGCTTCAAACAGCTCATCCTGTATTTTTCACAATGTAGAATTTTGCTTCCAAGTGATTTGTTAATTCTTGCCATAACAACTAAGCACAGTGGCATGGACAAGATTACATTCATTTTCCTTTGGCTTTTCCTAGGACTAGGAATAGAACTGGGATAATTCTGAGTTTTTGACGAGGTGGCTTCTCTTTCAGACTCAGAAGAAGAAGCTATGGAGACTGCAGCAGCCAAAGGAAAGAAAGCTCCAGCAAAAGCTGCTCCTGTGAAGGCAAAGAGCACTGCTGAAGAGGAAGATGAGGAAGATGACGAGGAGGACGAGGACGAGGACGAGGACGAGGAGGACGACGACGAGGAGGAGGACGACGACGAGGAGGAGGACGAGGAGGAGGAAGGTAATCGAGTTATAGGTTCTGAAGTGCATTGGCATGAGCTTTGTTTAAAGGAGATGCTTGAGGATGTGTGGCTACTTGTGGATGACATAGATTGTTTGATATCTTGACCAGAACTTGTCAAAGAAGCACCTGGAAAGCGAAAGAAGGAAATGGCCAAACAAAAAGCAGCTCCCGAAGCCAAGAAACAGAAAGTGGAAGGTAACTTAGAGAATTAGGAGGTGGGAAATAACACCTAATAGCACAAGTGATGAACAACAAAGGGACTTAATACTGAAACCTGATGTTATATTGCAATGTGCTGATGTGCTACGTACAGAAATAATTTGACTAATAGTCAAATATACTGGAAAATAGACTAATTTGAATAAATTTTTTGTACAGCCACAGAACCAACTACATCTTTCAATCTCTTTGTTGGAAACCTGAACTTCAGTAAATCTGCTCCTGAATTGAAAACGGGTATCAGTGACCTTTTTGCGAAAAATGATCTTGCAGTTGTTGATGTCAGAATTGGTGTGTCTAGGTAAGTGTGGGGGAGCTATGCTGTAGTTCTGCACGATACTTGTGGGTCTGCTAATGCTTTTTCCTTCCCCTTTTAGAACCTTAGCCCATTATCCTTAATGTGAGTATGTTAAAGTCTTTAAAGGTTAGACATTAATGAATTAAATCATTGGACTATAAAATTGTAAAACCCCCAAATTGAAATTCCCATAATCTTCCTTAACTTTTGATATAGCACAGTCTAGTTTCTAATAATGAGATTTGATGCTTATCTTAGAAGTAGCTAATTAGACCTGAGAAGCCATAATAGTGAATGCTTTTAATCAGACAGGATTTTCCTATCTTAGTGCTTAAACAGGTTTTTTTGGTCATCTGCTCTCAGTTGTTAAGGCGCAGTGTAACTAATGAAGATCTCAGAGGTGAACTTGCGTCAGGTCTTGGTACTTAGATCCTGCTCTGTAGCCTCAGCTTAAAAGAGCCTGCCTCAGTTTTATTAATTGTATAGGTGCTTTTTAATCCTTGTTTGCACCGTCATATTAGTGTTGCTGCTTGCCCAGAATATGTGTACGTGGCTCTTGTTTGGTGGGGTTTTTTGTTTTTTCCCCCCACCTGTAATTTTTTTTTTTGTCCTCTTCGCCTTAAAGGAAGTTTGGCTATGTGGATTTTGAATCTGCTGAAGACCTGGAAAAAGCCTTGGAACTCACTGGTTTAAAAGTCTTTGGCAATGAAATTAAACTAGAAAAACCAAAGGGAAAAGACAGTAAGAAAGGTATGTAAAGCTTTAGGTATAATGATGATACTTGTTAATGACTATGTATCTAGTCTAATGTAGACAAACCAGGGTAAGTAGTTTAACTTTTTTTCCTTTGGCTTCCTCATAATGTTGTGAGGATTAAATGAATTAGAATGTTAAATGTTTACAACAGTGCCTGGCACTGCTTGCTAGACTTAATCAAAAAATAATTGGTTAGATGTACCTAAATTAATAGAGTCCTTTCCTCACTGGACCTAGAGCAGATCCCTAACTACTCCTTTTGCATCTTTTACCCTTCTCTGTATGCACTTGTCACATTTTAAGTGTGTGTTTATGATCTTTTTTTTTTGGCCATGCCGTGCAGCTTGCAGGATGCTAGTTCTGCGACCAGGGATCGAAGCATGCCCCCCTGCAATGGGAGCTCTGAGTCCAAACCACTGGACCGCCAGGGAATTCCCTACACTTTTTTGTTTTTTAATGATATTTTTAATTGAAAAATACTGAACATCTCTTCTCTATATACAACATAATATTTAGCTGTATTTTAAATATTCAGTGCATAGTTGTTGTCAGCTGTGACAGCAGTTTGTTTTGCCACTGCTATATCTCCATAATAGCAGAGTGCCTCCTACTTGTAGAAACTCTTTTAATTTTTAACCTTTTTATTTTATTTTTCTGGCTGTGCTGTGTGGCACGCAGGATCTTAGTTCCCTGACCAGGGATCCAACCCGTGCCCCCTACGTTGGGAACGCAGAGTCTTAACCACTGGACAGCCAGGGAAGTCCCTCAAAATTATTTCTTAAACAGAACTTTTACCTTGGTCAGTCTTTGGTGATCTTTGGGGGAAGAATGGTCTTTTAAGCCATCCAGTTCATTTTTGTGTTTTTGTTTTTTAATCTAGAACGAGATGCGAGAACACTTTTGGCTAAAAATCTTCCTTATAAAGTTACTCAGGAAGAATTAAAAGAAGTGTTTGAAGATGCTGTGGAGATCAGATTAGTCAGCAAGGATGGAAAGAGTAAAGGGTATGTTTTGTGTCTACTGCAGTGTTTCATTAAAATTAATGAACTTTACTAATTTATAAAAGAAATGTTGATTTAATTTTCCTGTGTTTGTGATTTTGGGCAAATTAATTATTCTGTAACCTATGTCAGTCACCCATCTGTACAATGGGGATAATGTACTTTAAGTGATAAAATAAGAGTGATTTTATTATAAGATGAGCTAATGTATAAAATACTATACATGTGCCTAGCTTACAGTAAATGTTTTGGAAATAATTGTAATTATTGTAGTGAGGTGGACTTAATGTGAACAAATTTTCTAGAAGTGTTTGGCAAACTTTCTGTAGTGGGAGGAAAGTTTAAATTGAAAAGTGGAAGATGGCAGAAACCTTGAACATTTCAATTACTGTAAAAGAAAGGACATTTTTATTGTACTCATCTGAAATATGGGCATATTGCTGAGATTAAAAAACATCTGTGTTAGAGAATTAATATGGTTTTAAAAATCAAGTGAGTTCTTAATGTTTTTTCCTTTTGTAGGATTGCTTATATTGAATTTAAGACAGAAGCTGATGCAGAGAAAACCTTGGAAGAAAAGCAGGGAACAGAGATAGATGGGCGATCCATTTCCCTGTACTATACCGGAGAGAAAGGTCAAAGTCAAGACCACAGAGGTGGAAAGAATAGTACTTGGACTGGTAAGAATTTATAGGCTTCCTACAGGGTTCTGGAATTGATGGAAGGAAAAGAAATCCTTTGCATCTTTGTACTTTATAAAGTTGACTTGATAAATTGGATGGAGATGTAGATCAGCAAGTTATACCTGTATTTGTAATTGAGTGTCTTGAATGAGGGCTATATGAAATCTTTGTACTAGAACACAGATAAATCTAGCTTCCTTTGCATGTTTTATACTGTAAAGGACTTAGATCGTGTGCATTTAAAAATTAGAATATGCTAGGAAGACACAGGGCTGTGGTCAGCTTACATCTGAATAGTAAGAGTGGAAAGAAGCAGCATGTAACAGTACATAGTAGGTACTTGATACGTTGAGTACCAGGTAGGGTTCCACTTGTATCAACATTGGTGTGTTAACTCTCCCAAGCACAGAGATTTTTTAAGAACAATGTATATCTGTGACTGAGGTTGGGAACTACTGCTTCAGCCTTAATTTGACATCTCTTTATTTGTAGGTGAATCAAAAACCCTGGTTTTAAGCAACCTCTCCTATAGTGCAACGGAAGAAACTCTTCAGGAAGTATTTGAGAAGGCAACGTTTATCAAAGTGCCCCAGAACCAAAGTGGCAAATCTAAAGGGTAAAATAATTAGTATCTTTATGTTGTCAGTTACAGGCTTTTAAGAGTATCTTGTGGAGGTAAAATCATGTTCTCCTGGCCATTAGTAGAAGTTGCACCATTGAAGTGTTTGAAGAAAAAGGCTTGGTGGCATCAGAGGAGCTGTGTGCTTGGTAACTTACTCTAAATGTTGACTCTTTATCCTCAGGTATGCATTTATAGAATTTGCATCATTTGAAGATGCTAAAGAAGCTTTAAATTCATGTAATAAAAGGGAAATTGAGGGCAGAGCCATCAGGCTGGAGTTGCAAGGACCCAGGGGACAACCTAATGCAAGAAGCCGTAAGTTAACTTCATTAACAGGATGTTGTTTGTGGTTGCGTCCTCAGATCTAGAACGTTTGTTTCTGTTGCTGCTGAGTAAATGATACTGGATATGATGACTGATTATCTGAGAAATAACTGATGAAATCTCAAGAAAAGTCCTCTAGATAGTCAAGTTCTGATCCAGCGAAGTCAACACTGAGCAGCACATTTGCCAGGGGTTTACTGTCTTGTATGGTGTTTGTAGCTGCCTGGTTTAGAACTGCTTTCACTTGCTTGGGTCGCTGCTGCTTCTGTTTTCCATAAAAGATTCTCAACTGCTCTGGTGATCAGTGTAAACTTGACATGGCATTTGGTCTAAGCCCTTCGCTTTAAACGTTAGTTGACCAAGTTGCTTTTACCCAGACACTCAAGGTGAAATGCTACTACCTTTTGCTAAGATGAGCATTCTTAGCCAGTAGTCAGATACTAGACTGCAACATGCAAGTCCAGCATGTTGTCATGAATTGTGACTTTAATAAAAAGTACAATTTTTATTTTTCCTTTCCCAGAGCCATCGAAAACTCTGTTTGTCAAAGGTCTGTCTGAGGATACTACAGAAGAGACATTAAAGGAGTCGTTTGATGGCTCTGTTCGTGCAAGGATAGTCACTGACCGGGAGACTGGATCCTCTAAGGGGTAAGTAAGATGCAGGGAACATGTGGCGTCCACCAGGTGGAGAGTTCCCACCTAAGACGTCTTCTCATTGAGCTCCTTTCTGTCAATCGGTGACAGTTTAGGATTCGCACGAGAAGAAGAGACAATTCACAGAGCTAGCATTGTTGCCTTCTGTCTTCACAGAGGTATATTCAGCTGTTTTGTGGGACATTCTGTTTCAGCTTTCCATAGGGAACTGCCCTCACCTGGGTCTTGCCCCAGCTAAGCATCACCATCCAACATGTGGGAGTAACTTGGCATTTGTTCCACGTGTTGGCTTTATAATGGGCGATTTCGTTTGGTGTTTTTAGGTTTGGTTTTGTAGACTTCAACAGCGAGGAAGAGGCCAAAGCTGCCAAGGAGGCCATGGAAGATGGTGAAATCGATGGAAACAAAGTTACTTTGGACTGGGCCAAGCCTAAGGGTGAAGGTGGCTTCGGAGGCCGAGGAGGAGGCCGAGGTGGCTTCGGTGGCCGAGGAGGAGGCCGAGGTGGCGGCCGAGGTGGATTTGGAGGCCGAGGCCGGGGAGGCTTTGGAGGTAAGGGGCACGGTGGCCACCCAGCTGTGTGTGCCAGGTAGCTGTGGCAGTGCACTCCTGGACCTGAGCCTGCAGGCCCCAGTTCCTGCACCAGTCCCCACTTGTCCTGCTGGGGAGGGCATGGCTGGCAGCTTTGCAGCCACTCTTCAGTGACGGCTTGCCTTCCTGCAGGGCGAGGAGGCTTCCGAGGAGGCAGAGGAGGAGGAGGAGGAGACCACAAGCCACAAGGAAAGAAGACGAAGTTCGAATAGTTTCTTCTATCCCTGTCTTCCCCTCTTCCATTTGAAAGAAAGGACTCTGAGGTTTTTACTCTGTTACCTGCTCAATGACAGAGCCTTCTGAGGACATTCCAAGACAGTATACAGCCCTGTGGTCTACTTGGAAATCCGTATAGATAACATTTCAAGGGAGATAACCCTGTTGGTGTTGACTGGATATTCGTATAAACTTTTTAAAGAGATGAGTGATAGAGCTAACCCTTATCTGTAAGTTTTGAATTTATATTGTTTCCTCCCATGTACAAAACCATTTTTTTCCTACAGAGTTTTTTGGTTTTGTTTTTGTTTTTTTGCGTTGGTGGGTTATAAAGGAAAGCAGAATGTTTTATCATGATTTTTGCTTTAGCAACTTTGGGACAAATTAAAAGTCCTAAACTCTGGTGCCAGACTTGTACTTCCTGTCCTAGAGTGTTTCTCCTGGAATACACTGAGAGTGGAGCATGGCAAATCAGTTCTGCCACTCCAGATCTCCACCCCCTGTGAAAATGCTTATGCTTTGGTTTCAAGTATCCCAGCCATAAGTTTTTGCAGCCCTGTGTATGTCACGTGAAAGGCTCATTGGAAGTCCCCTGTGACCTTAGCCCACTTAGAAACAGGCCTGAGGGGTCAGGTGTCCTGAAAAAGTGCTCTGGAAAGAGGGCCAGGAGCACTTTGGTCCGGCCTTGTTTAGGTGGGCGCGAGAGCGACGACTGAGTGTACTTCCTGCTGGGTGCGTGGGCCAAAACGGAGGCTTTGGGACTGTGAGGCTGGAGAGGAAGCTACCGGGCTAGCCGATGGACCTGGTATCTTTTGTAATTCCCCCAGCACCCTCAGGTTAAACCAACAAGAAAGGCCTTTGGTTTTGCACTATGATGAGAACGTGGACATTCTGGCTTGTTAAGCATTCCCTTGCCCACCCCCCACTTCCAGTAAAAGGTCACATGAGAGGCCTAGGTCAAGCGATTAACATGATACATTTAGTTGAAAAATGGTGCGCAAGATGGTACAGAATGAAAGTGCCAACTCAAAAATCCGGTACTGGTAGACTAGAGGGCAAACTAAAGGATTTGAATTAGCTTAGTTTTGGCCTGGTTATGAGTTGTTGGCAGGATGAGGGAATAAACCTTGTGCATATCACGCACCACTCACCAAGTCAAGTCCGTTGTAAGTACTAAAGGCGCAGACCAGGACAAATAACCTGGTTTGAAGGGGTGGAAGATTGGAAGTTTGGGTGCTGCTGGGAAGAAAAATCAAGCCAGTAGAGGGACATCCTCTCGTCAGGCAAACCTAAAAACTAAAATGAACCATTGGAGAGCCTACTGTCTAGCTCAGGGAACTCTACTCAGTGCTCTGTGGTGACCTAAATGGGAAGGAAATCCACAAAAAGGGGGATATATGTATACGTATAGCTGATTCACTTTGCTGTACAGTAGAAACTAACAACATTGTAAAGCAACTATACTCTGATAAAAATTAAAAGCAAAATAATGAAATGAACCCTTGGTAGCCTATATTTTTCTAGAATTAAAAGTTTAATTAGTTGGAGCCCATTAGGGCTACTCACGAGTTAAAATATGTTACGTCTTAAAGCAACGCTGAGTAGAGTTTTAGCTGAGCATGTGAAAAGTTATGTCATTCATAGCACCTCAGTCTGTCCCAAACTGGAATTTGAAGAAGGGGCCTGTGAGATTGGTCTTTGGGTCTGCAGGGCCTTCTCCATTACCCCGCAGCTGTTTTCTGGGTTTAAACCTGAAAGTGGAGTGCACTCTTCGGCCATCTAGCAACATGATTTAGAATTTGCCGGCTTGGCAGAGCCAGTGCTTATTCAGTACTTGTGTTAACTTTTAAGACCCTGTGGTGATGGGGGGGGGGGTTGGGTTCCCTTTGGCAGGGGGGCTGAACCTGACCCTGCTAGCAGCCCAGTTGCAGGAGTTCTTGGCTCCTAGGGTAGGGCCTGCATTGAGATAAGTCTGAACCCACTTTGGTAACCCACTGGCAGTCAGTGGTGCTGGTAGTGTGTCAGGCGTTTACCTCAGCCTCTCTGTAACCGGCTGTGGGGCAAGACACGAGCAGAAAGATAGGATTCCTTCTTCCTAACTGCAGTTTTTCCTTCAAGTGAAGGAAACAGTCCAGCCCTGTGTCTTACTAGTCATTCCGGCCAGGGGTATTATGCCGACTTCCAGTGAAAGGAAGATGAGGATGGAGGGTGGTTACCCTTTGCGATGGCAGAGGAGCTCTAGGGCTTGCATGGAGGGAGTCCTGCAGACTTAATCCTAGGCCTGCCTGCTTCCTCTGGTTTCTGGTTTGGATTGGGTGAGGGTTTTGCAGCCATTTTAGAAAAGCAGCTCCCTACGGCAAATGGTTGTCGCCACTTCCATCATCCTTCCAGCAGGTGGCAGCACATCCACAAGGATGTGGACACCTGACAGAGGCGTCGAGAAGGAAGCCGAAGATTGTCTCAGGCCAATGGGTTTTCACCTCCAAACTCAATCTATGTAGTGATAGGGTCTGGGAATCTGCAGGAAGTGCACTCAGCACACAGAGATGGTGTGGAATCCCCGCCAAAAAAGTGGATTCCAGTTGGGTACAAGAACTACAGTTTGTTGAATGCTTGTCCTGTGCTTATCTCAGAGTTGTCCCATTTACCCATACTTGGCCCACTAATTACTTCATTGTAAGCCAATCTTTGTCTGCCCTCAGCCTTAAAAAGTGCCAAAGCTACTTCCCTGGTGGCGCAGTGGTTGAGAGTCCACCTGCCGATGCAGGGGACACGGGTTCGTGCCCCGGTCCGGGAGGATCCCCCATGCCGCGGAGCGGCTGGACCCGTGAGCCATGGCCGCTGGACCTGTGCGTCCAGAGCCTGTGCTCCGCAGCGGGAGAGGCCACAACAGTGAGAGGCCCGCACACCGCAAAAAAAAAAAAAAAGTGCCAAAGCGTTTCTCATCTCAAGAGAGCTTGTCTCCTGAGCCTACCTCCCTGCCTAGCCGTTCCCTCTAGCCTTTATTGCCAGACTTCGAGAAGGACCACACTCCTGCCTCCCACTTTGCCTCCAGTAGTGTGGCTTCTGTCCCCACCTCAGCACTGAGTTCGTTAAGGGTGCCAGTGACCAAAGGCTGCAAATCCAGTGGTTGGTCCTCCCCTAGTTTATGGCTTCCCTGCAGCACCTGACATTCCTCCTGCCCACCTGCAACGTCCTTTTCTCCCACGGTTAGGAAAAGGGTGGAGGCTCTGTGACAGTAGGATGAAGAGGGATGAGAACAAATAAACTTGTGAGTAGAGCCTCCCAACAGGATTTTATCCAATTAATATTTATGAGCCAGTGGCTGTTCCTCCACATCAGGTAACCCCGTCATTGGAGGAGAAAGACTTTACTGCTGGTCCTTCGACATGGAAATGTGAAAAGAACACTCGTGTTCCTGCCAACCTCTGAGTGGAGGGACTTGGTTTTATTTACTGTTCCGTCTCATGGGCCTAGGACAGTCCCTGACACATGGTAGGTATTCAGTAGGTAATGAAGGAATCCTCGAGAAACTCCTTCCCTCAACTGCAGGAAACCTATGGCAGCAGCAGGAGGGACTCTCTAAGGCCAGGAGTTCTTAACGTACGTTTTTCAAGTTCTTAACATTTTTGTGTTGGGAGTTCTTTTGGGAGTCTGGCAAAGCTTTTGAAACCTTTTCAGAATGATGTTTTCAAATACTTTTTTTTTTTAAAGCATTATAAGGGAAATCAAGTATATTGAAATTTTTTTTTTTTTTTTTTTGTGGTACGCGAGCCTCTCACTGCCCTGGCCTCTCCCGCTGCTTAGCACAGGCTTCAGACGTGCAGGCTCAGTGGCCATGGCTCACGGGCCCAGCCGCTCCGCGGCACGTGGGATCCTCCCGGACTGGGGCACGAACCCACGTCCCCTGCATCGGCAGGCGGACTCTCAACCACTGTGCCACCAGGGAAGCCCTGAAAAAAGTTTTAAAAATATTAAAGTACATCATTTGTGATAGAATTGTGTTATGTGTTCACTAATACATTAGGTAAGATGTATTTACATTTTTTAAATTTGTAGTTGCTCTACAATTGTACAATGAAGTGAATCAGCTATATGTATTCATATATCCCCTCCCTCTTGGACCTCCCCCTCCACAAGATGTATTTACATTTAAAATACAGTTAGGGAGTTTGGTTCTGGTAATGATGGAGTGGCTTGTAACAGACTAACCCTCCTGTTGATAATTATAAACTCGACAAAATATAGGAATCAACTTCTGAAGGTGTTGAAGACCAAACAATACCAGATAGAAACTGGAGCAGAAACCATCCTTGAAAGAAGGTAAGGACACGGGAGGAGATACATGTTTAACCATCTTTCCCCTCAAGGGTACCCAACCCTGCACCCCGATTAGCATGAACCTTTGGGCATAGAGTTTAAGCAGAAAGGGAGTCTTACTAAACTGAGAAGTCAGGTTGGAGTTTGAGTCTGGAAACTTTCCTGAAGATGAGGGAGACAGAGAAGAAAGCCATAAAATATGCATACAAGTGGCCTTCAAATTCTTGGTTGAGTCCTAAATTGATGAGCAGAGCAAGAGTCTCGAGCACAGGGGAAAACAAGGGAAAGGTGAAATCGCTGGCTACAGGTTCCAGCACATACCTGGTGCTGGAGAGAAGTTTGAAGTTCAAGTTCTGCCCAGTTAGAGGTGTTTGATAAACACTTAAGCTTTTCTTTGAAACTCAGAAGAATCATACTTCAGAAGTAACAGCACGTTCCAGGCCCATGGATTAAACCCTAGGACTAAGGGCAAAATGCAAAACTAAGATAGACTCACCCTAACAAAACCTAAAGCCTAAAACTAAGCCCCCACGTAATCAATGGGGGAATCTGTTGGGAATTTAATTGCCTACTAGAACAAAACCCAACAGTGTTCAGGGGACGGTAACAATCCAAACTCTGCAATATGTCATACATAATGTCCAGTAAGAAAAAGGTAACTAACTATATGTGCAATGAAGTATGAAAATGTCCACAATCGAGAAAAAAGCAAACAACTCATGTTGAAATTTGTAAGCAAGGACTTTAATCGTTGTAAATATGTTAAAGAATTTACAGGAAAAGATAAATGAAATGGGGAATTTCTGGAGAGAGATGGAGACTCTGAGAACCAAATGGAAATCCTAGAACTGAAAACAATATATTAAAAAATTCACTAGAAAGGCTTAGCAGCAGGAGAAAGTATCAGTAAACTAGAAGATAGACCAATAGTAATATAGAGGTCAAAGCATGCTACCCCAAAATATGATATCATATTAAATATTTCAAGCTGAAGGAATTTGAGAAACAGCAGGTGCAGGAAGGACTTACAGAGCCTCCCCTGAAGCAAGTCATAGAACCCTCATATGAGAGGTGCCCTCCTTATACCCGGAGGAAAGGATCACCCTTATCTCTCAAGACAGACGGACACCAAGAGGGAATTTGAAGGAACAGGCCTTGCTGTTTCCCCCGGTTTACTACACTCAATTCATACCCTTTTTTGGGGGGTTCTATCATATTTTTCCACAACTCTCCACCCTTCATCAAATCTAACATAAAAATACTAAGGTTTAACCACTTCTTCAGGTTTTCATTTCCTTATGAAGGCTCCCACATCATGTAAGACTTATATTAAATAAATTTGTATGCTTCTCTCTTTTTAATCTGTCTTTTGTTACAGGGCTCCAGCCAAGAACTTAGAAGGGTAGAGGGAAAAGATATTTTTCCTCCCCTACATGATCCAAACTGAAGCTCAAAGAAAAAATGTTGGGAGAAAAATGAGCAGAACCTCAATGACAATACCAAACTGTCCATCATGTGTAATTGATCCCAAGAAGGAGAGGAAAGAATGAGTGGGCAGAAATAAATCTCTTAGAAAAGTAATGGCTTAAAAATATCTAAATTGACGAAAAACAACCTACTGACCCAAGAAGAAAGTCATACACACCTCAGCACATCATAACTGAATTGCCGAACAACAAAGATAAAGCCAGACAGGAAAGACCCATTATGTGCAAAGGAACACCTATAAGAATGATGGCTAAGTCTCATCAGGAAAATTATAAGACAATGGATGATATCTTTAAAGTGCTAAAGGAAAAATATCAATCTAGAATTCTAAATCTACAAGGTGTTCTTCAAAAATAAAGGAGAAATAAGTCATTTTCAAACAAATGAAGCTGAGAGAACTCATCACCAGTAAGTACACTTGCATTTCAAGAAATGCTAAAGAAAGGTTTTCATGCCGAAGGGGAATGATATCAGCTGGTAAACTGCATCTTCCAGAAGAAATAAAGAGCACTGGAAATGGTAAATAATTTATCCTTTGAAAGGTAGTCTTTGTCTAAGGCAAAAAACATACACGTATATTCTGGGGTTTATAATATATGTAAAAGTAAAGTACATGACAAAAATAGCACAAACTAAGGGAAGTAGGTCAATGAAGTTATATGATTTTAAGATTCTAGTATTACACTTAAGCTAGTATAATGTTAATTTAAGGTAAGCAGTGATAAGTTAAAGATGAGTATTGTAATCCCTAGAGCAAACATTAAATAAAATAATACAAGCCAATAGAGAATATGGAATATTAATTCCAAAGATGTGAAATGTGGGCTTCCCTGGTGGCGCAGTGGTTGAGAGTCCGCCTGCCGATGTGGGGGACACGGGTTCGTGCCCCGGTCTGGGAAGGTCCCACGTGCCGCGGAGCGGCTGGACCCGTGAGCCATGGCCGCTGAGCCTGCGCGTCCGGAGGCTGTGCTCCGCAACGGGAGAGGCCACAACAGTGAGAGACCCGCGTACCGCAAAAAAAAAAGAAGGAAAGACGTGAAATGTTAAAAAATAACCCCAAATAAGGTAGAAGAACAAGGATTAGATGGGATACTAGAAAACAAATAATGGAATGATAGTTTATTTAAACTCAATCATACCAATAATTACAGTAAGTGAAGATGGACTAAACGAAAGGTAGAGATTGTCAAACTGGATGAAAAACACAAGAACTAACTATAAGCTATTTACAAGAGGTGCCCATTAAATACAAAGAAAAAGGTTGACATAAAAAGATGGAAAGGAATATACCATGAAAACACCAGGCGTAAGAAATCTGTTGTGGCTATATCAATGTCAGACAAAGTAGATTTCAAAACGAGGGGGATAGGGCTTCCCTGGTGGCGCAGTGGTTGAGAGTCCGCCTGCCAATGCAGGGGACGCAGGTTCGTGCCCTGGTCTGGGAATGATCCCACATGCCGCGGAGCGGCTGCGCCCGTGAGCCATGGCTGCTGAGCCTGCGCGTCCGGCGCCTGTGCTCCGCAACGGGAGAGGCCACAACAGTGAGAGGCCCACGTACCGCAAAAAAACAAAAAACAAAACAAAACGAAAAACCGAGGAGGATAACCAAAGATAAAGAGCATCGTTTCATAATGAAAAAAAGGTCAATTTATCAGAAATGTATAGCGATCCTAAATGTATATTAATAAAAGTCTTACAATATGTGAAGCAAAAATGGACAGAGCTAAAAGGAAAAATAGACAAATTTGCAAATCACAGTTGCAGATTTTAACACTTCTCACTTAGTAATAGATAAAGTAAGTAGACAAGTATCAGTAGTGATGTAGAAGAATTGAACGCTATTTAGCCAATTAGACCTAACAACGTGAGGATACACATTCAAGTGCACATTGAACATTCACCAGAATATTCTAGGCCACCAAACAAAGCTCAAGAAATTTCAGACTGAAAAACATATGTAGCGTATTCTCTGGCATAATAGAAATAAATTAGAAATCAGTAAAAACAAGACAGCTAGACAATCCCTAAATATTTGGACATTAAGTGCACTTCCGAAAAACACTTCTGAATGGGTCAAAGTATAAATCAAAAGAAAAATTAGATGATACTACAAAGTGAATGATAATGAAAATGCATTTGGGATGCAAATAAAGCAGGGTTTAGATGGAAGTTTATAACTTTAAATGCTTTAGAAAAGAAAGGAAAAAGATTTTAAATTAGTGACGTAAATTTCCACCTTAAGGTAAAAAAGGAAGAGAAAATCTCAAAATAAGCAGAAAAAGGGAATAATAAAAATAAGAATGAAAATGATATAGGAAAATCAAGGCAAAAGTTGGTTCACTGGAAGGATGAAAAGGATTAGTGTAATTGATAGCAAGACTGATAAGAAAAAAGAAATGAAAAGACAAATAGCCAATAAATTTAACAACTTAGACAAAATGAGCAAATTCTTTGAAAACACAACTTTCCAAGACTGACACAAAAAGAAATGGAACATCTGAATAGCTAATCCCTACATCTACTGAAAACATTGAACTCATCATTCAAAACCTTCCCACAAAGAAAATCCCAGGCCCACATGGCTTTGTAAATAAATTCTATCAAATGTTTAAAGAAGAAACACCAATCCTAACCTATTTCAGAAAATACAGGAAGGAAGAATTTCCAATCTGTTTTATGAGCGCTGATACCAAAGTATGAGAAGGACATTACAAGAAAAATACCCCAATATCCTTCATGAGCATAAACATAAAATCCTTTTAATATTAGCAAGTTAAATGTAGAAATATATTTAAATGATAATGCATCATGACCAAGTGGGGTGTATCCTTAATTCAAAGTTGATTAAGATTTGAAAATCAATGTAATTCACCACATTATAGGATAAATGAGAAAATACAATTGTCCAAATAAAAGTAAAAAGAAATTTGTCAACATTCAATAATCAACATTCATAATAAACAAAGCCTGACAAACTTTAACAAACTGATGAACATCTATGAAAAACCTACCACTAACATAGTGAAATGTCGAATCTTTTTTCCCTAAGATAATGAACAAGGCAAGGATGTCTGCTCTCATTATTTCTACTTAATATTGTATTGGAAGTCCAGTGCAATTAGGCAAGGAAAATAAATAAAAAGGCATAAAGATTGGGAAGCAAGAGGGAATTCACTGGCGGTCAAGTGGTTAGGACTTGGTGCTTTCACTGCCAGGACCTGGGTTCAGTCCCTGGTGGGGGAACTAAGATCCCACAAGCCGCCCATGGCGTGGCCTAAAAAAAAAAAAGAAAAATATTGGGGAGCAAGAACTAAAGTTCTTTATTCACACATGATATGATTGTCTACGTAGCAAAATAACAAGGAATCTTCCAAAATACTATCACTAAAAAGAAAAATTTTTATAAAGTTTACAAGGATTTATATAACAAGGATCAACATATAAAAACCAGTTGTATTTATGTACAAATCATTAAGCAATTGGAAAATATAAAAAATTTTAACTACAATTTATAATTGCATTAATAAAAACAAAATACTTAAGTAAATTTAATGAAAGATGAGCAGGACATTGTGAAAAGAAGTTAAATAAATAACTGGAGAGATACACCATGTTTGTGGATTGGAAGCCTCGATATTGTTAAGATGTGGATCTTCTCCACATTTATAGATTCAACCCAATCATCATAATCTCAGCAAACTTTTTTACAGAAATTGACAGCATAATTTTTTTTGGGGGGGGGGGCCGTGCCGCACGGCATATGGGATCTTAGTTTCCTGACCAGGGATTGAACCCGTGCCCCCTGCAGTGGAATTTCGGAGTCTTAACCACTGGACCTCCAGGGAAGTCCCAACAGGATCATTTTAAAACTTATATGGAAATGCAAGGGACTAGAATAGCCAAACAGTCTTGAAAAATAAAAGAAAGCCAGAGGACTTATACTAAATAGTTTCAAAATTTATTATAAAGCTACAGTAATCAAGGCACTGTGTTACTATTTTAAGGATAAATATATAGAAAATGAGACAGACTAGAAAGTCCAGAAGTAATTCCTCATATACACAGTCAGTTGATTTTTGATAAAGGTACTGAGACATTTAATGGGGAGAAGATAGCCTTTTTAACAAGTGGGGTTTAAAAAACTAGGTATTCATATTTTAGAAAATGAACCTTGACTTTACTTCACCCTATATATGAAAATAATTCACGATGGATCACAGGCCTAAATACAAGACCTAAAACTATAAAGTTCTAGAAGAAAACAAAGGAGAATGTCTTTATGACTTAAGGGTAGGGAAAGATTTCTTAGGACACAAATGGTATTTACCATAAATGGGGAAAAAATGATAAATTGGACTTCATCAAAATTAAAATGTCTGCTCGTCAGAAGACACTGTTAAGAAAATGAAAAGACAAGCCACAGATTAGGAGAAAATGTCCACAATATATATGTATTTCTGATAATATTCACAATACATATGTATTTCTAATACATATGTAGTTCACAATACATATGTATTTTCAAAATAATAAAGGATTAAAGATCCATAATAAAAAGACAACCCAATAAAGAGACTAAAGTCTTGAACAGACACTTTAAAAAAGAAGATATCTGGTTAGGAAAAAAGCACATAAAAACGTGCTCAACATGATTCGTCATCAGAGAAATACAAATTAAAACTGCAATGAAAAAAAAAAACAAAAAACTGCTATGAGATACTACTACATACCCACCACCGTGGCTAAAGTTAAAACTGCTGACAATGCCAAAAGTGGTCAAGGATACAGAGCTAGAACTCATATATTGCTGGTAGAATGTAAATGGTATAGGCACATCTTGTTTCCTTTTTGTTTTTTTGGGCCATGCCA